TCCCGTCTAGCAGAAATCTTTCTTGAATGTAATTATTGCTGCGAAGGTTTATGCAGTCGATGTTTACTGTCGTAACTTGGTCGTAAAGCCTATTTACAAATTACTTATTCTTTGTAAGTTATATTGTAGGTTTTCAATAAAGCCGTTTAACTGTTGCTTAACCACGCATATCTGTTGTATAAAACTGGAACGGGTTGACTTTATCTGAAGTCGTTATTAAAATGTTACAATGTTACTACGTATACTCAAGCCAGAATATTCTAGGTAATAATCAGATCCTTTTTCAAATTTATCATTGTACCAGGCTATTGTCCTTTCTTGTTGTTGGTATATGTGCAGGTAAATCACAATTGCTCAATAATCTATCCTGTCGCAAGAGAGTAGTTTAACCCCGCCGCATTTTTGCGCCTGTCCCACGTCAGGAGCCTCTGACCTTTGTAAGTCTTGTATGTTTGTTTTTAATTTTAGTTCACTTATATGTTCCGGAGTTAAGTGTGACGTCCATTTTCACTGAACTAGTACACATTTTTGTTTAGTGGCCAGCTGAAGCCCGCCTCCGGGTGCGGATTTTTCTTGCTGTGTTGAAGACCCCTTGTTGGCCTTGGGCTGTTTTATGCTCTTTGGTTGGGTTGTTGTCTCTTTGACACATTCCCCATTTCCATTCTCAATTTCATCCAATATGAAGAGTTATCTCGCTTTCTTTTTTCATGAAAAGTCTATGCACAGCCATGCAGTCGTTTATTGTTGTCTTTAAATCTCTATGTAGGTATATTATGGTAAAATGCTGACAATTTTCTAGAGGGTAAACTGTCGAGAAAGTACTATATAGTTTTAATTTCTGTAGAATTAAATGTAAATAGGTGCTAATTCTTTTAACTGACAACTGTAGGATTTGATTAAAATCGGTACCAATCCTTTCAACTGACAAACGGTGCAATTGGCGTTCTTTGAAATTAAAGACATTTTATGTATCTACTTCCAATTTGAAACACGTTATTTGTGGTGACAATGTTTTCTAATGTGTGTTTACTTGTTAATGGCATATCATCGACAAAGTGCAACCTGTTTTTGACGGTTTACATAAAGTATTATGGCCAAACAATTTAGTTTGTTCGAGATATACACAGCATATTCCTTTCTTGTTGTTGGTATATGCGCAACTGCTCAATAGTCTATCTTATCCCTAGAGATTGGCGCCGATGTTAGCGCTGTTTCTGTAATGATCATTATCGGATGTTTATCATTCACAACTGTCCATACGCAAAAGCGTTAGCCTACACACAGAGGTACATATTGCTAAATTAAATGCAAACTTTTACTTCTTATTTTATTTTCATTTGACTAGTTGAACCTCATAAAGCGCACGTAATTAAAATTATAAAATTGTTAAAACTTTCTTTATGTCTATTCATTGATATTGATTGGAATGTAATACTAAGATTGTTACTTGAATTAGAACTCTGCAATGTTGATCAAATCAAATTAAACTCGGAATGAATCTTTCATTCAGTAGAGTTTTAAAATTTAAGGTTTTGAAATATACAAATATATATATATATATATATATATATATATATATATATATATATATATATATATATATATATGGTTTCATAAATATACTGATATAAATGTGTTTCTAACTATATAGTTTTAATAGGCTCATTCGTTGAAGGTCGTGGGTTTTGACCTGTAATTATTTCATAATTGTCTTTATGTTTTGAAATGCCTCTTTTGCAATCATACCACGTCTTCTTAATTTCAATCCGTTGAATAAATTTATCACCTTTTAATATGTCCAGTAAATTCAGCAACAGTTGTTTAAAATCAGTCATCTACAGTATTGAGTAAAACTAACAGTAGTAATTGGGTCTGATCTACAATGTAGTTTCAGTTACTTCAATTTATCTTAAATTGGTGCTTTGCGTATATTGTTGTTATGTTACTTTTTTGTGATTCGAGTCAATCTAATTAAACCATTAGCAACTGATTTTTACAGTTTTACAGTTATTTTCCTGTTACACCACTTTCCCATGTCAGTGAGGGTTGGAGGACTGGTTCGGAAAAAGTACTGTTTATTTAACCTTAATATCACTCGACACACTATGGTCGTCTATTTCAGGTACATGCACAAATGTATAGCTTGGCCTGATTTTACTCGCTTATTGATTTTTTGGTTTATAATGCTATTTATCTAAGCTATTTGTTTGGTTTCTAACTGTTTCGGAATGCAACTGCACGGTTGTCATTCGGTATACCGAATAAAAAATATCGTGAAAAAATAAGGAACGATGATTTAAGAATTGCGATAGGATTGTGACAGATCTGGTATATGATCGTGAGGGAAATCGATCGAAAAGACACATGCAAGGCCAATAGATACATGTAATTCATTTATTGAATTATAAGGACAAATTTTGAAGAAAAAAAACACCTGTCAAATAGTTCAACATTGTGATCAGTATCTTACAAAATCAGAGTTCGAAATATCTATTTTTTACAAAAATACAATAAACAGATTACTCTGCAACATTTCGATGACATAAAAAAATATGAACGAATCTGATTTTTTCATTTTATGAAAGACTAAATTACCATTCTCTGAATAATGTCGTTCTATGTTAATGTTTCAAATGGCTCTCAAATTATTTGAAATTAGCTTCATCAAAAAGTGGTTCAAATTGGAATATTTGTATAAATTTCATATTAATGATCGTGAAAGATCGTGTATAACTTGTTTGAGATCGAGTAAAGACTGTGAAAGATCCGTTGTCGAATATTTGTCATTGCACATATTATTGAAAGCATTCAATTCAATTTGTAATTGTATCAAAAAATTATTATTAAAAATTGGTACAGCAACAGACTGGACTTCCTCGACTTTTACCGTTTCACGTTTTATTGGCGAATAATATGTTGTGCTACGATGGTTCAATGCTATTTGGTCTGTTTTTAATAAGACCATACCGACTAGTTCGCGATGCCCGAAATAAATTACTGTTTGTCTGTCTGTCTTGTCTGTCCGTCAACATGTTTAAATCAGTATTATAAGAGTCATTATGCCTCATCTGATTTCAATCATTTTTTGACCTGTATTTGTTTTTATAACAGGAAGATCCTTGTCAATTTTTTTATTTAAAAGAAGGGGACAATTTGGTAAAAAGCTTTTCTTTTTTGTTAAGTTTGAGAAATACCTTTTTGCACCAGAATTGCATTGGAAATTGATAATTGATTCAGTTTGTTGCAAATTTTCGGCATCTGAAAATTGGGTGAAAATTAAAAAAATTACGATTTTCATCTTTATGTGCTAGGATTTCAACAATAATTCATATTCAGGTATAATATGGAATTTTAGATTAATTCAATTTTTTGATTAAAAGAACTTTTGAATTTGAAAAAAATTACAAAGGAGATAGTTCAGTTACTTATAAGTTTGACCCTAAAAATCTGAAAATTAATCGCGATATAGTTGTAAGAATTAGCTGAAAATATATGTCAATGTCCATTTTTTTCAGTTAAAAAATCACCAATTCCGTCATAAGTGACATATTTGTGACGTCATGAATATATGTAAATTTCGTTAAAACCTGATTGTTTGCAAAAGATGGCAAAGTTTATGGCAGTTTTCTGACAGAAAAAAAAATTAGTGGCATAACACTTCTCGCCCACAAATAGTTTTGTTGAAATATTCTTTATATACGGTAACCATATTCTTCACTTTTCAATCAAAATTTAGGACTGTTTATTGGGATTACTGGCTCTACGCCTTTGAAGAAACTTGCTGTTCTAGGACTTTATCAGAATTAAAGTATGTGTATGCTATTCGAAATTGATCATCGGTGTCTAAATTGCGGTGAAAACTAAGCTTTTATAAAAAGAAAAACACAAAATTTGAGAACTATTTTTTTTGTGTGCAATTCTGAATTGATTCTAGGTGTAATTTGGTCTGTTTTTTAATAAGACCATACCGACTAGTTCGTGGTGCCCGAAATAAATTACTGTTTGTCTGTCTGTCCGTCAACATGTTTAAGTCGGTATTATAAGTCAAGAATGCCTCATCTGATTTCAATCATATATAATATATATATATATAAAGACTGCAATGTTGATTCAATATAAAAAAGAAGATGTGGTATGATTGCCAATGAGACAACTCTCCACAAGGGACCAAATGACACAGAAATTAACAACTATAGGTCAATGTTGGTTATCGATCGAGTTGAGATCATAGCAATCTAGTGTGTCAACAATTACTTCCCTTGCAAGCATTGTCGCACCATTCTAAATATAATATGTGAGTAAAAAACACTGATAAGGTATTATAATAAACTAACAAGCAAATATATATTATGTATCACATTCTTATATATTATGTTTTTTTTCATTTACACCGAAATATAGTTTGATAAAGTTCTTCCACAAGTCTTCATTACAAAAGTATTCAGGTAATTCACAGGAAACGTATGCTAACCCAAGTTACCAATATTTGTTATAATCATCCCGTGTACAAAATTATTTCTAAAGTTTTAAAGTAATTTGTAACATATTTTCCCCCAGGAAATAGATTCTATCGCAAGACTGAATAAAATATCACAACTCTAACATGTCTAATAATGAAAAAACATAATTAAATACTAATATTTCAGCTTTTTATAGTTTTTACATAATTATTTTTATAAATATATCAATAGTAAATTGCATCGATTTAATTTTGTTTTCTATTTGTAAAATTTGTCATTTGATGAACACATTTAAGCCTGAACTCAATGTAAATGATTTTGGACATTTTGATTTCTTTTTTTTACCTATTTTAGTTGACAAAATTTCTGTCGATATTTGAACTAGTGTAGATATATATTCCACATAATTAAATGTAAGAACGCATCGACCCTTTACCAGACGATCTGTAGCGAGTTATCGACCCTTGTTGTGACTGATATAGCTGCGTATGTTTTAAGTTGTAAAGAATTATGTCCCGTGACTAAATATTTTCGATCTTCCTATCCCAAAGAAAAATCTTGTTAAGGCTGATTGAGGTATGTATTTTTTCCATAATTCCTCTTGTAATATTTCCTAATCACACGCTCACAGACATAAACAAACACACACACACAACTCTTACTAAGTAATCTAGAGTATATTTTAACTTTTATTTCTTTGTTTGTAAACTTTCGTTTGAATTCTTAACGAAATATGTTTAAACATGTTGAATGTGTTTCTATATTTATCAATGTATTTCCAACGTGATTGTGGTACTCGTCTGCATTTGTGTTTCTCCGATTTGCTTTTGTTGATTAAAAAAAAAAGAATATTTCACAATGTAGCAAATACAATTTGAAAAAAAAATCTAACGTTTGTTGTCAATGCACGAGAAGTGCTAGGTAATGAAATGGTTGATGGATGTGCAGTGAACATCTATTGTCTATTCTGTAATTATTAAAAAACAAAGGGTATGAACATTGAAATATATGTTTTAGTGACTATTCTTTTATATGTTTGCTCAATTCATTATGTAGGTTAATGAATTATATATATATATAACACTGAAACATTTATATAAACACACTCACACTCTCATATTAGAGTTTATTTGTAATTTGGATACCTTATAGATTTTGTCTGAAATAATGCGTGATAAAAACGTATAACACACATACCGAAGGTAAATGTAAAAAGGGGAAGTCCATAACAACTGACATAATCAAACGTTATCAACCAACGGAACGACGGAAAACAGCTGTCATATTTCTGACCTGGTACAGGCTTTATCCGAATTCAACATAAACACAAAACAAATTAACGGCATAATTTATAACAGACCACTTTAAGAAAAATAATTATGACAGACATGAACCAACAATAACCATATACATTAGTCTTTCAAATTAAACAATAAAATCTAGAGGCATATATAGCACACATACATTTAAAACTCTTAAATAATTTGATTTTTCTGATCTGGTGTAAAGTCTTACATCGAGCCTCAATGTGCATGTAATATATGCCTCTGGACGTTCAGGAAATGATCAATCAATTATCAATTCTTTCATTACAAGTACACTAATAAGAACTATTTTCATAGATCCTTGACTAAATATTCAAAAAAGTAAAAGTATACTAAGGGGACAGTCTAAATCATAAGACTGAAGTAAAGACAATACAAAGACGAAACTAAAAAAGATTAAATGATGTATATAGTACTTGTATACCTCACTTAAATTTGATTGATCTACAAATTATAAAGAAACTAAGGTTTTTCATGGAAAGGATACCTTAGATTGATGAGGCTATTCTTTTTTAGTCCATCTTGGCCTTATTGACCATGTAGCACTTCAAATGTTTATACTCAACTGGCTTTTAAATTGTTGTTTTTTAGCGTTCCTGCAGAAAAGAGCTTTGGACACAATAACTAAATAAAGTGTAATTAAACTGATCATTGATACCACAGCCGGTTTTAATTTTTTTACGTCGGACGCGCGTTATAAAGTGTACTATTTATCTCACACATATGTCATGTATGTTACAGGATCATGGCCAGTAATTGGAATCTTTGTGATATCTGTGATAGTGGTTGGATTACCAAACCTTCAGTAGTTTGGTGTTTTGAATGTAAAAAAGGTTGTGTGAAGATTGTAAAGAACCTCACACTATTTCAAAGGGAACAGAAAACCATGTAACAGTTTCCATTGGCGACTATAAGTTACCGACCGAAGTTCTGCAAATTGACAACGTTTGCAAAAACCATTACGAGAAATACGAGTTTTTCTGTAAAATACACGATTATCCATGCTGTACTAAATGTTTGAAATCTCACAGCGATTGTGAAGAAATAAACGATATCTATGACGTCATACAAAACGTTAAAACTTCAAACGCCTTTTATGAACTCGAACAAACCCTGCTGGAAATTGTCGAGAATATTAAACCAATCAGTTTTGACCGAGAAGACAATTTAATACATCTAGAAAACAAGAAAAGAGAAATTGAAACAGAAATAAAACAAATACGTACAATGATAAATAGTCATCTGGATAAACTTCAAGACGATTTGATGAAAGAACTATTGGCAATTGAACAAAACATGCAAAACGAAAGCAGCAAAATACAGAAGTTGTTGGTTTCTCCAAAAATGAAAGCAAAAGAGATAAAAAAAAAAAATACCAAGCAAACTTTGCTAACCTTAAACAGCATGCATCGGAGCTCCAAACTTTTTTGTCCATGAAACAAATCGAAAAAGATATTACAATCAAAGAAAAATTTATTCAATCTGTCACCAAAACTGACACCACGAACCAAGTCAATGCCATTCCAAATGAACAAGTCTTTACAGGAAATCAGAGCCAGTGTGCAGAAGTTTGGGATGTCAATTTCAGTTCTGATCAATGCGATTTGTCCATTCAGAAACGGAAGGACAGACAAGCTCAGATTATGGTAGCTCTTACAACCAGAAATATCGACAAACTAACCCTGATGCTGCAGAAAAGTATCAATACAGATCTGTCAATTGTTTATGGTTGTTCTCTGCTCCCCGATGGAAGGATGGTACAAAATGTATTCTCTGGTTATCACCTAGCCAAAATAAGAGTAATGAAATCAGACGGATCAAAAGATTATGAAATAAACAACATTGTTTAAACGCTTGATGTGGTATTTATTGGTAATGATTCAATTGCTGTTACATCTGGTAAATCATATAAGATTAATATAATCGACTTAAAGAAGCAAAAACTGAAGAAATCAATAACATTAAATACATACAATGAGGGAGTAGTATACAATGAGGGAGTAGTATACAATGAGGGAGTAGTATACAATGAGGGAGTAGTATACAATGAGGGAGTAGTATACAATGAGGGAATAGTATACAATGAGGGAGTAGTATACAATGAGGGAGTAGTATACAAAGAGGGAGTAGTATACAATGAGGGAGTAGTATACAATGAGGGAGTAGTATACAAAGACGGACGTTTAATTTTTAGTTCCAGGAACAAAGGAATAAAGATGATTAGTCTTAAAGATGATTCCGTTACCAATGTTACCCGTAACAAACTTTCAACCTTAGCGTACGTTACTCCATTCGGTGAAAAACTGTTTTACACAAATTATAAGAATGACATTGTCACCTGTTGTGATTACCGTGGTAACATTTTGTGCAGGTTCAAAGATACACGTGTTCTGAGGTGTCCACTCGGTATCTATGTAGACAATGATGGTAACGTGTTTGTAGTTGGATGTAGTATTGACAATGTGGTCGTCATATCTCCTGATGGACAACGCTACAAACAACTTGTAAGTGAAGATGGATTGGATATACCTACAGTTCTGCACTATGACACATCTACCAATACATTGTTAGTGGCAAATTTCAATAATCACGCATTCGTGTATGATGTTAAGTGATAACTTCTTATTATCAAACGTACTTAACAAAGCGTTGCATTTGATCTGTTCTTGTCCTTCGAAATATTTAAAGCCAAATGTATTTGCTGTAATTCATATGAAGACTTCTTCTGTAATGAAAATTATAATATTCTACAGAAACATTGATAGAACTGTGATGAGATCATGAAAGGTTTGAATTGTTTTCTTGGCAACATGTTAGCATCTTTCGGTAAAATCCCGCCACATTCTGAATATACCTGTACCAAGCCAGGAACCTGTTATCAAGTGTTTGTCATTTGTTGCTGTATTCTATATTTGTTTTTATCGTTCATTGTTGTAGTATCAATATGACCGTTTGTTTATTCATCTTAATTGCTTCGTCATACCGCGGCTTTTGATAGCAAGCTATACAGTATTGCTTTAACTGATTGTTGAAGGCCGTACGATGATCGGTATTATATCATTTGGTCTATGAATAGGTAGGATATTTCATTGGCAATAATACCACATCTCAAAAGCTCATCTTATATTAAAGAGCCAGTATGAGCTATAATGATCAGTTTTGCGTCCATCGTTCGTTCACTTTTAAGAAATTTTCCTCTAAAACTCCTGTGCGAACCTTGGCAGGAATCATTATTAGGGTATCTAGTTTATGAAATGTGTTTAGTATGATCTGGCCTGCCACCCAATATGCCTAAAAAGACTATAAGAGTTATATACCGGTTTTGGAATAATTGTCTTGAAAACTGTTATAGAAAGAGAAAAATCGAGAAGGGCAGAAAAGTTCAAAATGACAATCATACGACTTCTTAAAATTTTTTTTACATTAGCTGTATTTGGCAAAACCGTTTCGGAAATTTGGGACCTAAATGCTCTTCAAATTCGTACTTTATTTGGGCTTTTATATGCTTTTTTGATTCCAAGGTCATTGATGAATCTTTTGTAAACGAAACGTGCGTCTGCCGTTCGAAATCACCAGCCTGTTATTCTTTTTGAGTTTATTGCTCTCAGATGACAAAGTTTACCATTTTGGTATAAAAATTACACTTTATCATATTTATCGTCCGGAAAGCTTTTATGGATTTACCTTCGTTATGAACACTATAACCAATCAAGAGAGATTATAATGTATAAATACCTTGATACCTTAGGAGCTATAAAACCAGAAGGGACATCAAAAAGAATAGCTAAATTTATTTACACGTGAGTCAGAATCGGGTGTTGGGGGAGGGTATTCTTTCATTTCTGAATTCTTTAATTTTTTAGGTCGTATTTCTCTTTTTTATTTGTTTGCCTTTTATTCTCTATTTATTTCTTTTAGCTCCCAAATATTGTTCTATTCCTTATGTTTTTTTGGGTAATTTTTCTCTTTATTCTCTATTCTGTAAACCCCATCCAGACCCATCCTACATGGTCGAAATCGTCAGACGACTCCTTACGGGATTTATAGCCCTTAAGTAATGATATCTACCGTTTTTGGTGCTTGCTTATTATCTTGAAAACTATAATGTATAGAGAAAAACTTTGATAGAAAAATGATAAGCAATACAAGATCTAAAATCAAGTCAACACGGTAAAAATTGTCAGTAAACTTCTTATAGAGTTATTGTCCTTTATTGACCGATTGTACCCCTTTTTGCGTTTTGTGTGAAAATTGTAGAAGTTGAAAAATTGTAAACAGCAAGAGATTGAGGAAGACAAGTCATCATAGTCAAAATTGTCAATTGACTTCTTATTGAATTAAATGCCCTCAAATGACGATTTTGAACTTTTTAAAATTTTTGGACAATAATTATTTAAGATAGAGAGTGTTGTAATTGTAAACAGCAAAAATTATCAGCAGGAGAAGATCTCCCATTTAGCCAACAAAGATAAAAATGTTTATCTTTTAGTCGTCTTTTGTTTTTTGCCATGGTATTATCAGTTCTCTTTATGTCGTGGTTTTTAACGCTTCCTTGGTATCTTCCGCCCTTTTTCGGGAGGTACTGCCCTTGAATAACATTTTTTATCCATATAATTAAAATACAAACGGTTAAATGCACATTAAAAAATTCTCAACTCTCTGTAACTATTCATTGTCTACTCTCTCTCTTGCATGTCAACATTAACATTATCATCCTTCGAAGGCCACCTTCAACTCTTTCTCACACACATCAAAGTGTTATTCACAACTATAGGGACAGAATATAAACAAACAAAGTTATGAAATATACGACATGTAATGAGAAGTGATTAAAGTAAAAACACAGCTGCATCATACATTAAATGTAACGGTCATTCAGACTGTCTGCTACAATTAACCTAGAATTATTTAACAAATATGACCTTATCAATTTACTATCGTCATTTAAAAACTGATTACCGACAAAGAAAAAAATTATGAAATTACGGTTCCATAACAAATTTTTCTTTTGCCATTGCCAGAAAGATAGTCCACTTCTCTAAACACCAAAAACAGTTTTTATGTATGAGCGATGACATGTTAGGTATATACTCTGAGTTGTTGGCATTTTCCACATAATATGTGGTAGGGATCGCTGGAGTAGGTAACTGTTTTCTGCTTCATTATAGGTGTAATACCACCAAATCATAGTACGTCACATCCGGTTGCATACGAAAATAGGTCGAAAAAAAATATTCCCTTGTATTTGACAGTTGTAGGTAATTAATCCTACATTTCATTGCAGTAAAACATTTCTGGGTCATAAACATAAATCTTGGGTATTTAAAAGCACAATTATTTTTTTATTTGGGGTTTCTATAGAATATTTTGGAACCTTGAGGTTACATGGTTACTAAAGCTTGTACACAGGTTAATAAAAGGGGAAAATTTGATTGGTTATCTTCCAGTGATGGTTATCTTCTTATATGCAATGAAATGTTATGTGAAATTTTTTCTATAGTACTGGACAGGATAAAACTTTACTCATGCCAAGTATTTCTTTATTTGAAACAAAGATAAATTCTGCAAAATATTTTGAAAAGTGCAAATTTAACAAAGACTAATAGGGGTAAATCAATGATGGTATTACACCTATATGGATTAGACTGAAAATGTGGTTGTGCACAGTACACACTTGGACAAAGTCTGATTAATCATCAGCATCCCCTATGTCTGACATTGGATGTCAGGCATTTTTTGGGGGTCATAAACCATGGACTGCTAGGGAAGTGAAATATTGCTACCTGTTGGGCCAATAAAAAGGTGGTCATCCATGTGTGTATTTTAAAGCCACAGGTTGACAATTTTGTTTCATATTTGTACCTGCAAAGGTTCATGTTTACCAAATGTTTTACAGTGGAACTAAAAGAACTTTGGATAGGAAAAATCAATAAAACAGGAAATGAAAAAAATATGTCTTTTGTATAATCATTGAAGATATTAATAAATTGTATATTTTCAAAAATTATATGATCTACAGATCTAAATCTTATGCAAATGCTATCTTTATTCATTATCATGATAAATGATCCAAATTATTATCAATTAAATTATATTTATTTTGTAATATGTTTTAAATAAAAGTGCCATGATTAAAGGTTATAAGAAATAATACCAAATGTCATATAATAAAGTCAAATATGACAAAAAATGCTGTTGTCTGTTGTACAGTGTGGAACATTCCTGTTATCTCTTTCTATTCAAAAATAAAAAATAAATCACATGAAAAATGATAAAATTGGCAGTCAAGTTTAGATACTTTTTTCATTATTTTATTTACTGCTTTTTTCACTGATTTAAGATAATACACTACTGTTTAACAAATGTAGGACAAAAGTCACAAGACAAAACCTCACATCTCTGTTTTGAGATATTTTTTCTGTGATACACAAAAATGTGTATGTTCCAAATTATTTTTTTTAAATTTTCTTGAATAATAGTAGATTGATATAAAACGATGTGGTATGAGTGCCAATGAGACAAGTCAAAATTTATAAAAGTAAACCATTATAGATCAAAGTACGGTCTTCAACACGGAGCTTTGGCTCACTCCGAACAGCAAGCTATAAAGGGCATACAAAATTACTAGTGTAAAACCATTCAAACGGGAAAACCAACGGTCTAATCTATACAAAAACGAGAAACACTTATGAACCACACCAACAAACGACAACTACTAAACATCAGATTCCTGACTTAGGACAGGTGCAAACAACTGTAGCGGGTTTAAACGTTTTAATTATACATTTTTGTAAAAAAAACTTATTGTAAAAAAAAAAGTAATGATCATACTATTGTTATGAAAACAGACTGTCTTAAATTACTTGCTTCTTGGTGCCTATACATATGTAGATATTAAAATTTGATAGTTATTCGTTTAATAATGATATTAAATTAACAATTTCCTACAATGAACTGTTTTCATAAAAATATATTATTTGAAGAATTTCCTCTTTCATGATCAATATGTTCAAACAATAGTTAACCAATTAGCTGTGACTTTTGTCCTATCATAAACTGTAGTTTGATTAAATACTGAAGTCTTCATATAAATTGAAATAGAGCTGTGAATTTTATAGCAAATGTGCAGTAAAATTAAAAGAATTTCACTATACATGTGATACATAAGAGTCACTGCTTTATTATATATATAATAAAGTATAATAATTTAAAAAAAATGGTCTAAATCAGAATCTAGACAATTAATTACATGTTTAACACTAGTATAGTATGTTAACGTCTTAAATGTGGTTGAAATGTTTGATATTTGACTTGAAAAACAACTGCTAATAGTCAACATGGAGATAGAAATGGTTGACCATCGTAATTTATTCTTTCAAATTCATTTTTTTCGATATACCGAATGACAGCCGTAAACTCATGAACCGTGTGAGTAAGAAACTCGAACGAGGCGAACTAGATTATTAGCCTGGTATCTTTTATTAATTTTGGAAAAACTTGGTCGATTCCACTGCTGATTGACGTTGATAGTATCAAAAGCCAAATGGTCAGCACATCTGTGATGGCATGAAATATAATGAATACCGTCAATTTCTGTATATTCGTTTTTCTCATAACGTTAAAAGCACTCAAACCCCATTTTTCGTCCCAGACATAGATGACTTATACAAAGTTGCCACAGTTTTGGATTTTTTGGTTTTCAATACTTATTAAACTACATTATTGATTTTAGTACCATTGTTGTGTACTGTGATTTCTCAAAAAGAATGCGAAACTATGTCGCTAGTAAGTTGAGGCACAGGCCTATCATATTGGTCAACCAATTCGTGATGGTGGTCGGTAACTTATACTGTGTCGATTTCAGTCGTTCTTCCTTATAGCTCTCTGTTAGAGCAGTTTTCGTTTGGTTTTTGTTTTGCAAAAGTAAAAAACACAAAGGTAAGGTATACTGTATTCTTGCCCTTTCAAACTTTATCGAAAGAGCATGGTTTGATGGTTATAATGCACGTAAGTTTGATGAATTTCATTTTGTTATACTCTATTTTGCGATCCCATTGTTACTATACAAGGGTAATACACTTACAAAGTAAAAAAAAATGGTCAGATTCTTCTCAAAACACCAGGTTCATTCAACATATTTCATTTGTATAAGCAGGGAATTAGTCGTTCTTCTAGGATATTGTTTTCCTTTGTAACCCACTAAATATTTGAAACAAAGTTGGTATTTGTGAAAATAGATTATTACCATATTTTAATACAATGAATTAAATCAGGTAACAAAATTCATTTAAATCGTGTTTTTTTTCTAGAAATGATAAAAAGAAACTTATAAAATGGTATTTGAGATAGATAACAGAAACTAACTTAAATATTCGGCTTTGGGTGTTCCTGATGAAGCTAATAGATATAAGAAGATGTGGTTTGAGTGCCAATGAGACAACTCTCCATCCAAGTCAAAATTTATAAAAGTAGACCATTATAGGTCACAGTACGGTCTTCAACACGGAGCCTTGGCTCACACCGAACAGTAAGCTATAAAGGGCCCCAAAAAAATCCAGAAAAGCGCTTCGGACGCTCGAAGTTTATGACGTGTTGTTTTCATATTCTAAAGGCAAGTAGTCGATACCCTTCAATACTGAACTGAACTTGCCCCCTTTTTCTTTCTTAAATTGTCGTTGGTCACAACCACAGCATATCTATTGATATGACAACTGAATAACTTAAATGCAAGAGATGAAAGGAACAAGTGGTTTCTTGTAAGTGCCTTCGTTTTTTTCAACCAATCAAGAATAAAATTAGGCTTTGGAAATAAAAGTTGTTCTTACCAAATTTTACAAATCAAATTCTTATTCGTTGTATCGTCTGTTCTGACTCTGATCGCGTGCTCAGTTCTTGTCATGTGGAAGCTTAAGGTTAATACTACGGTTAAAATCCGTGTTTATCATTAAAAGTATACATTTGTACAATTTTGAGTAGATGCTTCACAAGTCAATTTCCGTAAGTTCAAATTTTCTTCTAATTTAGTCCAAAATTTGAAAATATGAAAAATAAATGCAAAAATTGCGGTTGACGAATCTTTCAAAGGAATTTCACACGGATGTTTACTTTTCGTCAGAGATACATTTCATCGACTTCATGAAACAACTATCTCATATTCTTAAATGTCGTTCAAGAGTTTTTCAAACTTTAAAAAATTATCTAGATTTCAGTTTCTCTCCCAGGATAAAGTTTCGATATACTTTATATGGTATCAAAGATGACGCATATGTAGTTTTTAAATTTCTTACGGTTCATTCTCGTCATATCGTCCTGAGTTAGTTCTTCCATACGATAGACAAGATATTCCTTGAGATACTTAAAAACCGTATAGCAATGTCAAAATTATGTGTTCAGCCCGAACTACAAATGGTAGTCCTAGTTAATTTAATGCTTAAATAACGAGAAAATCGTGCTACTGTTAACCGTTCCTTTCTAGCTTTGAAATAAATGCGTTGCTACCGAGTAACTGTGGCATGATATTACTTTTCCAATCTTGTCCTGTATTTACATAAAAACCGCTCCTATATCAGTGAATGTAGCGTCCGTGTATTAATAAACCTGGTTTTGTTAAGTAAAAACACGACGGTGAATTAAGTATTATTCCTACATTACAAAATAAAACGGTCTCTGTTGCAATACTTACTGCCTAAATCTGCCCGAAATACCATAAGGATTTGAATTAATTAATCACTGTCAAGGCCAAGTCCTAACACCAGTTAAAACGTGTACTAAGTAACTAGAAAGTCTAAACCCGTTTTCAAGTTAGACCTCAGGATTAAACATCATTCTAGCGAAAGTGCAAGGATCAGTGCGGAGTCGAAAACCCATCTTCGCATATATCATAAATTGGTTTATAACGTTTGATTTTGTCGGGTTTTATGGACTTCCTTATTTATAATTTACTTTGGGATACAAAATCGCAATTGCAATAAATTTCTCTACGTGGTTGAATTCATTGTATAATAAGCTGATTACACCCTATTTTCAAATATCGACTTTGTTTTAAATTTAAGACACTCAAGTACGACAACTGTATGATTCCCTGCCTATCCAAGCGAACGAAAGTGGATTGAATATTGTGTTTTGTGATGGCCCTTCTATTTTTGTTTAGTTTGTAAGTGTATTACACATTTATGGTAACAAGAGTGCGCACGCTGAAATGTCTCTCCTGCTTTACTTATTATAATTGAATTATCTTGAAATAAATACGAAATATCAAAATAGCGCGTTAAACACAATCAATCAATCAATCAATCAATCAATCAATCAATCAATCATACCATGCACCCAAAAACAGTACCTTATTGTTTACAGTATCTGACAAACAGATGGTATAACGAAACCTGCGCATTGACAAATGAACCATAACAATGAGGTCAAGGTTAAATGAACCCTGCAGGACAACAAGTACAAAATGCAATTCTTCAACGCACGAAATATAGGTGTCCTGTTGCTTATAGTATTCGAGAAACAGACAAAACCATGAAAACTTAATTAACTCATGAACCATGAAAAGGAGATGAAGGACAGTTATTTGGCCTTTTTGAACTTTTTTATTCGAGCATCACTGATGAGTCTTTTGTAGACGAAACGCGCGTCTGGCGCAAATAAAAAATTTCAATCCTGGTATCTATGATGAGTTTATTTTGAACCACTCCAGACAGTTATACATACCTTACAATCATTCAATACACCCAATATAGCTGACATATTGCTCATAGTATCTGTGAAACGGACTTAACATTACATTGACCAATGAACCATGAACCATGAAAGTGAAATCAAGGTCAGATGATGCCTGCCTGCCTGACTTGTACAATTAAACAATCATTCCATACACCAAATATATTTTACCCATTGTTTATAGTTTTTCAGAAAAGGATTAAAACACATTGACCAATAAACCATGAAAATGAAGTCAAATTCAAATGAAACCTGCCAGACAGACATGTACACCTGGCAATTATTTCATACACGAAATATAGTTGGCCTACTACATAGAGTATCTGAGATACAGAATTCATCACACAAACTAACATTGATCACTTATCCATAAGATGAAGTCGAGTTCAGGCGAACCCTGCTCAACGGACATTACAAGGATTCCATATACCAAATGTAGCTATCCTTTCCCTGAGTATTTCACATGTCAAAAAATATACATTGTTTTCAAGCAGTAGATTATTAGGTCAAGGACAATAAACATATGACAGACGTAAACCTCGTATCACAAGATACAACAGTTATTCTCATACAAGGTATGAAAAAGAATGGTCCTCTTTCTTGTTAGATATTATAAGTTATCTACGTTCATATCCGTAGATATGGATATTTTAACACCCTGAAGTATCCAAGTACACCCTGAGGTGCAGCCGAAGGGTGTACAGGGTACTGAAGGGTGTTAAAATATCCATATCTACGAATATGAACGTAGATAACGAATTTATCCCCGGTCTTAGTCTAAATCTGGCGATTGTTAGAGAAATTCGACCACAAAGTTTAACGTGAAAGCAACGTTTTTTTCATTTTTTAAATATCTTTTATTGAAATCTGGGAATTTGACATATTTTTAACGGGGTGTAGGGTACTACCTTTGGTAGAACCCTGCAGGTAGACAAATATAAGACGTTTTTAAACTAGAGACAGAGAAACTAAAATGGGTCGAATTTGGCGCGCAATGTTGTGAGAGTTACATCATAAACAGTGTGACGTCAACGTGGGTCATTTGCATAGCTAGGTCAGTAGTACCATTCATTGACAATGTGGCTGCATAGTGATGCATTTACTAAAATGAGTGCAAATAATCGATGTAATAAGATAAAATCGTTAGTGGATTACGTATTTAATTATACAGACATCATGGAAAATCTACAGAATTCGATATTTCATAAGGAACAACCATGGAACTAAGGAAAACGCACGTGAAATTCCCCGATGTAATGGGTAGCAACGTCCGGGGATATGGGTTAGCAACACCCAGGGGCTATGGGTTTTGTAACGACGTGCGTTAACCAATCAAACTCCTAGAAATATACTAAGCCGGGGATAAGATAGTTTACGCCATCGTGACCATCGCCGCCTGCGTCTAAAATGTTGTTATTGGAAAATTTACTAGCTTTTAAAATGAACTTTTGGACCGTTATCTTTTATAGTTTAACAACTGAGTATATGATTCCAAAAAATAACCGATGAAATTGATTATGAACAATGTGGAAGTTCAAATCTTAAATGATCGATTACACATAAGTCAAAGATAACCTAACAGCTAATAGTTTTATTTTCACATATTTTATTCAACAGTATTAAAACAGTTGACAATTTTTAGACATACTGCATAGAGGTGTTTGCAGTATAACCAAGATAAATATAATTTAAAAATAAATAAAAGTTATAAAATAAATACACAAAGGCTGTTGAAACAACGACAAAAGCTGTTCAATAAGACAACTGCGCGTCTTTTTAAGTCAAATAAATATAAACAAAATTATCGTTCATACTTTCCGTTTTGGATCAAATGGACTGCGAAAGCCATGCTTCAAAACATGGTGCACTTAAGTGTGAACTTTCTTGTCGACGGTAACACAACTTAAAGCGTAGGTCGAAAGGCTTAGTTTGTTTGCATTTGGTTGTGTGACCAACCATACGCAGTATAATACAAATGAAAATAAGAGATAACATAAATTATTAGATTTGAAATTGAAATACATTAATTCCTATTAAGAAATGAACAGCGTTCCAATAGTCACCATACCCCAGTTTATAACTCAAACAATATCAAATCTCGTGAACAATTATACATCAAAATTTTATGAATTTCTGCGAGAAAAAACATAAGTCTACAATTATGATTTTTATGTCAAACTACAACATATTAGAAAATAAAGGACAGTACAAATAAAACAATTCATACATAGTCATGTTTTGACTGATTTTTTTCAAGAAAGAAGTTGAAACAATTTATTACAAAACAAATCGCATTATAGCAGAAAATTATCATAGAATAATTTTTTAAACTAAAGAAACGAAATATGTTTCAATGCACTATCTAAAAGAGAATCCATCGACAAATTGTACATCAAACAATCTTTTACATAGACCACTGTTTCACATTCAGGCACATCATCTGTTCATTTTTTAACACCAAAAGGTCCACTTCTGCTATTGACGGACACGAGCCCAAAACTTGGTCTCATCTTTGACATCCCGTATAAGCGACTTCCCCAGAGACGTGTTGATGCTGGACCCGGGCGACCGCCATAATTAATACCGTCTTTATGCAAGTAGTATGGGATGACACCTTTGTGCTTTGACAGGTATCTGTTAAATCCTCTTCGATCAACGTTGATTTGGTCTTCTTCTGGATTTATCAAATTACCATTACTCTCGTCAGGTTCAGAACTTTGCCACCAGCTTGGATTATCAACCATACCAAAGCTTTCGTCATCCAGATAATCTGCCATTGCTGACATAACTAGTACTGAAAGATAGATTAAGGAAACTACGTTCAAATTTCATAGATTGATTAAGAAAAAGATCAAAGTCACACACAAGGCTAAGGAAATTGCATGAACTCCAAAAGGATCGAGACCGGATGCATCGACAGGTTAGGCATCTCCTCGTATGTATTCATCACCCGCCGTGCGAATTCATCATTAACAGCGCATTGCCTTTTAACCATGTAAAGATAGTGATATAGAACAGACTTCAAATTGGGTCGAATTATCTTGTCTTGCAGGTCATTTTTTGTTATTTAAAGCTTCTATCTATCTTTAATACTTTTCAAGATAATAGGCAAAAACTCCAAAAATTAGTAAAAATCGTCATTAAAGAGCAGGATTTCCAATAACGAGTCGAAAAACAATTTCGACCGTGTTGACCTACTTGTAGATATTGTCTTGCGGATCATTTTTGCTATTTAAAAGTGTCTTTCTATTCTAGTTTAAAAGAGTATAGGCAATAGCACTAAAATTGGTAAAAATTGTCATTTAAGACCAAAAACTCCAATAATGAGTCAACTAACGATTTCGGCGATGTTGACTTATTTGTAAATCTTGTCTTGCTGATCACTTTTGCTATTTAAAGTTTCCATCTATCTATTATAGTTTTCTATATATTAGGAAAAAGCACTCACAACTGGTTAATACCATCATTAAATCTCAAATAACGAGTCAACTGAAAAATAAGACTTATTTGCAGATTTGTAAATCTTGTATTATTGATCATTTTTGCTTTTTAAAATTCTATCTATCTTTCTATTGTAGTTTTTAAAATATTAAACAAAAACACAAAAACAAATTGTAAAAATCGTCGCGTAAGGCCAATAACTGTAATAAAGAGTCGTCTGACGATTTTGGCCATTTGCCTTTTTTGTAGATCTTGTCTTACTGGTTATTTTTTTAAAAATATTCTCTCTATCGCTCATAAATTGCAAAATGATAGGCAAAAATGAAAGAAATGTAAAACTCAGCATTCAAGGGCAATAACTACTATGAGAGGTCGTCTGACAGTTTTGACTTAAATGGACAGTAGGCAGAATATTTCTGCCCCTGTTACATTTTCTCTTTTCAAAGCAGTTTTCAAAATAAAAAGCGAAAGTTGCACTTTACTCCTATGTTCTATTTTTAGCCATGTCGGCCATCTTGGTTGGTAGGAGGGGTAATCGGACACATTTTTGAAATAGATACCCAAATAATGATTGTGGCCAAGTTTCGTTAATTTTGACTTAGTAGTTTAAGAGGAGAATATTTTTTGTAAAACTTGACGAATGATTGAAGACGACGATGACGAAGACGGATGACGGACACCAAGTGATGGAGAATGATCACATTGGACCTTTGGGCCAGGTGAGCTAAAAACCTACGAAAACGCGCCAGATACATATTTACTTTTGCAAAACGATACTATGTGATAAACTTAATCATGTATTGCTAACAGATGAAATAACTTTATTAGTTAATGTTTAATTCATTCACTATTGTTATAGAACTGGGACGAAAGGTTTGCGTGGAAAGAGTAGTTCTAGGAAATGAAATGCTGGAACGAGAGTTTATCTCAATATATAATTTTTTTTATAGATCATCGAATCTTTTAATTTTATAACTTTTGCAATAGGTCAGACCATTTAGCTTTAAATATCGTTTAGACAATTCAGAGCCTCAAATATCACCTAAGCGACATAATGAGGAAATTCTGCATTAAATGCAATTAAATATACCTTTAAAAACTATTGGCTATTGTAGAAGGCCATATGTGGACATTTGCTTGTCTTTTGTTAGTCCTTCGTATCGTTGGGTTGCTGTCTTACTGGCATACAACAACCTTTAATTCCTCTAAACAATCTAACAGTGATTGTCCAATCTTGGACAAAACTACTTAAACAATCATTGATATTTTGCATTCAAAGAGTAACGATTTATTGGGTTATAATGAAAGAGAAGAGGTCAATTTCTGCTGTATTTTTTTTACTCGCAGGCCTAGTGAGTGTCATAATCTCAAAGTTGTCAATCCTTTTGAAATTCAATTATGAAAAATGTATATGTTACAGGCATTTTCTAAATTTAAGCATTTTGTAAAATGACTGAATTTTCAGGCAATTTATAAAATGCCTAACCTTGAGAGTCATGATATAAAATGACTAAAAATGACTAAAATTTTGAAACAAAATTCAACAAATTGCCTGTTTAGTTTCAGGCAATTTGTAGAAAAAGGATACCATTGAGATGCATATGACAAAAATTGACAAAAACACAAAAGCTTCCAAAGAAAATAACTAATGGTTCGGTAGAATTAATTTATTCTTCAAAAACCAGCTTGGAAAGTTTGTATGTCATATGATATGTTCGTTTTAGTGAAACTACGTTACGTATGTACTCACTAGATGTATCTCAGATAGTAAATTTATGATTATATGTCAAAATGACAGAAGGACAAATTGTTCTTTCAATAGAACAAAATTTACCAACGAATTTTTAGAAAATACAGATTCAAAACAGTGAAGTGAAACATATGAAGCAGAGAAAAAGAAGTTTGTTTTCAATTGACTGATTGCTGTTTATTGCTTTCAATAGCCAACATTTCATGCATTTTTAAGACGAGAACAATTTGGTTATAATATATATGGGTAATTTCTGCAGTGGATTAACCTGGATAAAGGACAGGAATTTCGACTGCCGCTTGAAATGAAGGTATTTTGGATAGGGACAGAAAATTCCACCTGCAGAACGGTCAATGAGTTCTTAACGTGCAGAGAGAGTTGCACTTTACTAACATGCGGCAATATATTTAATGTCCCAATTCAGAAGGAATGAGAATTTATTCATCCACATCCAAACAAATTCCCTTCAATATCATGTATTTCGCCATACAAGGCCGTGTTTGGTTGTGATGCAAAGATATGAGTATCTTCATCTTCACTGCCTCAATGAAATTCCTGGGTCTTTGCAATCGAATGAATTATTGAGACAGTAGTTAACTGTGGTTAAAATCTCAAAAATCGACCAAGAAGAGACAAATAACGGTATATTGACATGGTAAGCGTCTCCTGTTATAGATGCATCACCCGTCATTGGCAGATCTGCTTCAGTCCGTTAAAAGCTATAAGCCAAAAGATACAAGTCAAATAAACTAATCATGATGATGTGCTTTAAATCTTTTGGGAACATATAAAAAGGAAGATATTCATGTGTGACGTGTGCGAAACACAGTGGTGTCGAACGTTAAGTGTTTTATCAGAAAAGGTAATGAAAGAGCTAAATGTGTCATGATCCAGGTTTCTCCAAATGTGGTCGAAATGCTAAAACCAGATTTTAGGCCAAACAATGTATTTGCAAAAAATCAGGAAAAATATTGTGTAACAGTTCTGTAATCCGAACACTTTAAAAAATAACAAATAATTCGAGTTCTGTGCTTGTGTGAATTTGCAATAATTCAGTAAAACTTACTGTTGATTATTAAAACTCTTAAATTGCAAGCTTTTGCATTCAGTAACTATCATAAATAAAACTGCTTTGTTGTTCAAAGCTTTCAATTGTTTTTTCACCATTTCATTCTTTAATATAATTTTTGTCATTTGGAAAATGCCTTTCAATTTTTTCAGGCATTTTGTAAAATGCCTAGATGAATTAGTCATTATTTAAAATGCCTGAATCTTGCTGGTATTTTAGAAAATGCCTAAAGTTTTAAGGCATTTTACAAAATGCCTAAATCTAGAAAAATGCCTGTAATATATACAATTATAAAATCAAAATGTTTTTATCGTTTCATGTTGCAGTCGAAGCTTTTTGATACAAAATTGCACATTTTGAATGTTTTTGTAAACATTGTATAGAAGGACTAAAATGATTAGATTTGTACCAGAGAGACAATATTTAGCCTCACATCCAACATCATAAGTTTGTTAAAATTGTAGTTTTTGCAGCCGTTTTAAATCTTGTGATTGGTTTTAGGTAAGAATCTTCTTCTTATAAATTGCTTCGATAAAAACTGGCAATAATGCTAAGTTTGTTAAAAATTGCGTTTTTTTTTGTGACTATCTTTAGCCGTTTTAAATCTTGTTGAGCCATAATATAGATAGAACCTCAACATATTCACCCGAAGCTTTAACATAATTAATAAAGATTGAAAATGGCCATCTGTAAATAAATACTTTTTAAACTGTGATGGTAGAGAGGGTGATCCCGAATAATTTCAAATGAAATGCATTATTCCCAGTGCCTTTTGTTTTCAAACTATAATGAAGATAGACATATTTTTTGATAAAATGAAATTATAACTATCAAATTCAAGTTATCAGTGAAATAACAAAAAAAAAAAACTCTTCAAAAAGTAAACTCCTTTCTATATAAAACAATTAAGGCACTTACACATATAATGAATGCTAGACAATTCATTGCATTTTAGTAGAGTGTAAACAAGTCGGCATATTTAAAGCACTTAACAGTTTAGTTTGAAAAAAGCTACAAAAATACAAACTTTTCTTTCTCACTTTTATTATATTACAATTTGAATCAAATAATATTGGAGACGTTAAAGAATATACGGTTATATATTTTAATATTCTATAGACTCCTTTTCTGACGGCATGTTAATAACCGAAACCAAATGTGCATTAATTATTGAAAGAGAAAACACATGGACCGGAAATAATTGACTTGAAATATACATCAGTTTTAAATTTAATAGGATTTTAACGCTTCCGATAGATACATGTATGAATAATGAGGGCGTTGGCGTGTGTTTTATATCTCTTTTACAGATATAACATTATATAATCTGGTTTTCTTTCAATTTGTTTTTTGTGAAATAAATTTATGTAATTTCCATGCAGAAATCTTTAAATTATTGCTCATTTAATAAAAAAAAAACAAATGCGTCGAACAAAAATTAATCGTGATCGCAAACACGACATAACCAAATAAATCTAGAACTCAATTGGATGTCAATATAACTTAATCAAGAATTGATTCACATATAACCCATCGCGATAGAACTAAATTAAATTTACTAATAGAATAGAGAATGGAAACAGGGAATGTATCAAAGAGACAACCCAACCAAAGGGAAGAAAAAACCCAAAGCCACCGATTGCCCTTCAACGCATTAAGAAATTCCCGCACCCGGAGGCGGGCTTCAGCTGGCCCCTAAAATAATGGTTACTATTTCAGCGACATGGACGGCATACTTAACTCCGAAACATACAAATGAACGAATGTTTAAAAAAAAACCACACAAGACTTACAAAGGCTAGAGGTTCCTGACAGGCCAGGCGCAAACATGAGTCGGGATTACACATGTTTTGTCAGATCTCAACCCTCCCCAATACCTGTAGCCAATGTGAAATATACAAACCACAGTAATACGCACAGTAAAACTTAGTTTGAAAGAAGTCAGAGTCCGATGTAAGAAAACGTAACAGAAGAAACTAAGCAAAATTAGAATGATCAACATAAATTAACAAAGGACTACTAGAAGTTACTGACATGCCAGCTCCATCCCTCAATTAAATTGATCGACAGATAATGTCTTCATCATATGAAAATCAACCACAATCCTGCCAGTTAGGGGTTTAGTATGATTTATATGTGTATGTGTCATATCCCTTAATTTAAAAAAATGTTCATCGATGTCCTAATTTTTTTTCATTATATTCATGACTTTTAATTTTTTTCGTGTCTTTTGTTAAGGCGTAATCTTCACTTTTTCATGTTTGAAATCATTGTTTAATATGATCGCAAATTATCATAATGAAATTAATAGCATAATCCACAATATTTCGTAATTGGTCAATGACTCTCACCGATGCATCGGTACACCAAGGTGTACGATATATTTAATTTGGTGCAATCAAGTCATAGCTTAAGACCCTTTACATTTGTTATACGTTGAATAAGGCGATTATATGTTTTCCTGTCATTGCTTATTCTGTAGCCTATTATATACTTACTGGAAAAAACAATACTCCATATAATACTGCAATAACAAATGTTCACCATTTTGCTCTGAAGATTCTGCAAAATACAGATAAAAAATTCTTGTAATTTCATTTAAAATCCGTTCTTTCTGTGGAAAGTATTTAACTAAGGATATCATTTATAGTGATTAAGAATATATTACAATGTTGACTGCTGTACCCCAATTTTTGACATTTTTTATCTTTTAAGTCTGTTTGTTTTGCTCACACATTGTTGTCAATATAATGGACTTCTATGCGACTGTCATACAAGTGAGAGGTTTAGTTAGCTATAAAACCAGATTTAATCCACCATTTTCTACATAAGGAAATGCCTGTACCAAGTCTGGAATATGACAGTTGTTTTTCATTCGTTTGAAGTGTTTGAGCTTTTGATTTTGCCGTTTAATAAGGTTTTTTTCAGTTTTTAATTTTCCTTGGAGTTCGGTATTTTTGTTATTTTACTTTTTATATGTTCATAAAGGATATTTTAGTCACTGTCTTTTACAAAATTGCGGTAAAAATAATTCTCTTTGGAATCAATGCATTGAACTGAAATATATGAACTTTTTATTACATCATCCCCTCGGTCTGATCTTGACACTTCAAAATACACTGCTTTGAGATATTAAAATGTATTGTTATTGGTCTGTAGATTGAGCCGTCTAGGAGCCCGAGTCGTTGAACTTACCAAAATACGCAGCTAAAATAATCCAACATTTTCTTCATAAGGAAATGCCTGTAACACGTCAGGAATATGACAGTTGTTTTCTATTCGTTTAATGTGTTTTGATAAAGGACTTTCCGTGTTGAATTTTAATTGGAGTTCGGTATTTTTGATATTTTACTTTTTTCTATAAAACTTATAGCAGCAATACGTTTGCAAATATTTCACCTCTTAAGAATGTGATCATGTTTAATCCATATCCATTAGGAGAAAAAAATGGACCAGTCACTTAAGAGTCAATTGACTATTTGATTTTATTGTGAAGCTTGTCTTGCTATCTTTTTTGTTGCTTAACAGTTTCTTTCTTTTTATCATAAATTTACAGGTTACCGTTAAAAGGACAAAATGGTTATTAATATTGTTATTCAAGGAAACAAATTTATTGAAGGTGTCTATTTCGATCACGCTTACTTATTTGTGGGGCTTGCCTGATGATCAGTTAAGCTTTTGCAGGTCCTATATATTATAGTATGCATTATAATGGATCAAAATTTAAAAAAAATAGTAAAAACCGGCAAGGACAATAACTCCAATGTGGGTGTCAATTGATAATATCGCTAACTTAACTTTTCTGTATCATGTTTTACTGATCAGTTGGGCTGTTTAATGTTTCTGTTTATCTATAATGAATTAAGAAGCCAAAAATGCAAAACATTCATATCAATTGTCATCTATGGCAAATAATTCATATAAGAAGAATCTTAACGATTTCGGCAATGTCAAGTTAATTGTTGATAACACCGTGCTGATTATTCCTGCTACGTACAGTTTCTCTCTATGTATTTTGTTTTTCATACTAAAAACAAACACATTAAAATGTATAGAAATGTCATTTCAGGGCAGTAAAGGAGAGGAGAAAGATACAAAAGGGACATTCAAACTCATAACTCGAAGGTAAACTGACAACGCCATGGCAGAAAAAGAAAAAGACCAACAATAGTATTCAAAACACAACATAGAAATCTAAAGACTGAGCAACACGAACCTCACTAAAAAAACCGGGGAGTCTCAGGTGCTCCGAAAGGGTTAGCAGATCTTGCTCCACATCTTGCACCCGTCATGTTGCTCATGTAAGTACAAACCCAGCGATAAGTATAATTTGGTAGGTCACATTCGGGGGAAAGGAAGACGGTATTGTAGTTACCACGATTGGAACATATCCGTCGTCATCTGTGTAACGAATAGTCCATAACGGTCAACACACTCTTGGTGGCGACGGTAAATTTTTCGAAGGTATGATTTCAGTTTCAACACTTAGACCTGTTGGTTAAATAGCTTCTCTGTAAGCATCAACCCTTTATAAAGGAAATTATGATAGGAAGCGCACGCCCTGGAATATCGTATCAACTGGGCGATATATACTCCGTATACCTGCGCTGATGGAATGTTGCTACCTAGAAATGAAAACTCATGAAATGGGTCGATAATGTTTGCTCGCATGTAGAAATGGGTTTGTCGGTCGTTGTTGATGTTTTAAAGATAATAACTTAAAACAAAACCAACAAATAATTGTTATAAATTTTCACAAATGTACAATAAATCATATAAGGTGTTAATTAACGATTTTGGTATTGTCAAGTTTTTTGCATATCTGTTCTGATGTCTACAGTTTTTTCGTAATCAATTACAATGCATATCAATCTGAAAAACGCAAAAATAGGTTAATTAAATTTGACAGTTGTTTAACCATGTTATAATTTCATACATTCTTTACGAAGAAACCAATCAAGGTAAAAACTCCAAAAGGACAAGAACCAGTTTCGTGGATTGAACAAGCGTTTTTTGCAACTAACAAGTACTCTCTAAACAATCGACGCCTTTATACTTATAATGTTTCAAACATTCTTTTTTAATGTCCTTTTTCGTCATATTTAATGCTCTGAATTTTACGTATAAGCCTGACAATTCTGAAAATTCAACACACGGACTGGTCTAAAGATTTTTACATATACGCCGTTAATTAACTATTAAACGTATATGAGACAATATCTGAAAAAGTCTAATTTTTGGCAATAGGAAAAAAAAAATGTCTTTAGAACCGGTATTTTAATAGCACAAATCGAAGAACACACATTTAGGATCTAGGAACTGTTGTCTGTAATTCAAACAATTGTTAAATGTGGTAACAATGGCAATTTTAAAAATGGTACAAAAAATCCAGTTCTTTCCTGTTAACAAAGTGAATCAATTTAAAAAAATTTCTAATGGGAATAAGGAATAAGTTAAAGATACTATTTGTGGTTTACCAGTATATCCTGCAATAGTTTATCAAATGCCAATTATTTATTTTAGCATTTGCAATACAAAAGGTTAAGAAATATACTAAAATATAGTCCGATATGTCGGTAACATGAAAGAATCTTGAATAACAGGACAAGTAACAGGACAGAAATTTTTTTTTTCAAAACAATTGCTTTATTTCATAGTTTAAGATTGGTCACAATTGGAAGATAACAGCAAACAATGTCATTTATCTTTTGAAACTGTATTTGCAAGATGCAAAATCTGCTTAAGTAATGAAAAATTCTAAAATAAATTCCTTTCTGTTACCATCTACTATACTAGAATTGCACAATGTTCTCTGCTGTTATCAAAAGTAAAAAACCTGTCTTTTCATTCAATATACTGTATATTATGTTGAGATTTATTTAATATGATGATAATAACTTATATTAAATGAAATGTTTGACATATAGTAGCTTAACTTTGTGATTCATCAGTGAAATTGTCTTAAATAACATCCTTCCTGTTACTGATTATGGTTATGCTGTTACTTTTTATCATGTAACATGACAGAATGTAACAGAAAGAATTACACAGTACTTTTTATCCTTTTATTCGAATTGTGTAGAAGTTTACTTCCACCTACATATCAATTTAATCAGATACTATAAAACACATTTACTGTTATAGTGCTGACAATGAAATATTCCCAGAAGGTACACAAAAAGGCTGTAACAGGAGAGAACAACAAAATTATTTTTCTCTAAATTCTGATTTTTGGGGAGTTCGGATTTTTCAAACTGGCTGCCATTCACCTATACATCTGGAGTCATACATTCAGGAAATGATGCTCTTCTCATCGCATTACAAGAAATAAAAACTTGGTCTTTCAAACGTTTCCACAGGTGAAAAAAACCCAGTGGTAACAGGAGGGAAATTACCCCTTGGGACAAAATTTAAAAGACCCTTAAAAATGCAAACTTTTATCACATGCTTTAGTTATAACAAAATCAGACCATTAAGGGACAAGTTTTCTATGTAATCTATCATATTTGTGAAAATCGAAAGCCTGTTTACTTAATTTAGATATTCTTTGAATGATTTAGTTGTCAGAAAACAACACCGGACAACTTGATTTTTGGGGAGTTGTACATTTAAATTATAATATTTTATTAGAAAAAATATAAGAAAGAATTTTTAATTGGCAATAGTTGGTGCATAATATACTCTAGTTAATACTGAAACTTAAAATTTTCCAAAAAGATGCCTGAATAAAAATATAATTGCTGGTGAAAGATTGAACATGGAAATTAGACTTTTGTAGATATTGTCTCATATAAAGTATTTTCTCAGAGATAAGTGGTAAGGAATTAAGATGACACAACATGTATATATATACAATGTAGCACACAAAAAATAAAGAAAACGGTTTTAGAACCGCAAAGGAATGTTACCTTAACGCGGGTAAGTTTTACCATTAGATACGCAAACAAATTCGGGGTGTTTAGCGGACGGACACCAAAGGGAAATCATCTATAACACATCTTTTGACATTTCAATAAATCTGCTATGTATATTTCGACACTCTTTATTAAGTATTATATTTGTATTTGATTCTCTATTAAGCTATAAGATTTTAACTAAACTTGCATTTAAAATTATTGTATTAATGCGGTCACTGAAATTTCTCTTGAAAAGTGCAAATTGAAGAAATTTGTTTAGCACACGAACTAGTAAAGCCCCACTGACCTATAAAGCTTCAATTGTAAATTTACTAAACCAGATGTAAAACTAAGATTTACCTTTACAGACGGTATTTAAATGCAATCAGGATTCACAACTCGCAATGGCAGTGATCTTAATATCTGTCGGTTTCGAAATAATTTAGCATTGGTGATAATGACCATTTAATACAATTATATTAACCTGAATGTTTTCGTCTAATAGATGTAAGATTTTTCGTCCGAATATTTGTCTGTTTCATGCCATCATGAATTGGTGGAGAGATACACTTCGTCGGTGTCTCAACTCACTAACAACACGTTTTCGAGACCGTAGATCTTTAGATACTAATAAAGTCTTCTGGTCTGTAATTTTATCGATTGTGT